GGCCGAGCTTGAGGCAGGGCTGGTGGCTGGGGCGGAGGTGACATGGGCGACTGCACTGGCAGCTGTAAGAAGTTGAGGTTACAAGGTTGGGTTGGGGGACAAATCAGAACAAGGAGAAAATACATCCTCTGGCATCTGGAGAAGTAATGCCAGGAGGATTTGTGGAGTGGACCCCTGGGTTGGCCCTCCTCCTCCTTCCCCACTGGCAGCCTCCCTCTCTCTTCCCACACCCCTCTGCTCCTGGCTTGTCCATTTCTCTATTCCTAAAGCTTTATCTCTCCTGACTCACCCCCCTCCTACCCTCACTCCCCACCCCTGACTTCTCTTCAGGCCATTCACACACACACACACACCCCAGGGCACCCGCTCTCCTCAGCAAGGGGGCATCTCTCCTCAGCCTGTCCTTAGCTTCTCTCCTTTATTCTGGCACAGACTGAGCCACTCCTGCCTGCAACTTCTGCCTCTTGGGGTGCCATCTGCCAGGAAACAAAACCCACAGAAAGGCTGAGAAGACTCCATGAGCAGGGCAGCCCCCTCCCCACCTGTGCTCCTCACCTGTAAGCACTAGGAATAGCAGCCACCAGAGGAAGAAAGGGGCCTGGACGCCCGGTGTCATGGTGGTGGTGACGCGGGTGGGGAGGGGGCAGGACAGACTCAGGCAGGCGCTGCGTGTGAGGTGGAGTGAGCACAGGCGCCTGCTGCTTTATACCGGTCCCCCCCCTTGCCCGCCCTAGGCTCAGCCAGAGCAGGTGACAGGTGACAAAACCCCGCCCCTCCCCCTTTCCTTACCTTTTCTTACCTCTTCCTCCTCCTCCCCAACCACTCCTAGCCCCTCAGGTAGGGTCCATGGGCTCCAATCACTCAACGTTTGACAACCTGTTTGTTCTCCAACTGGCCTCCCCCTTTCACCAACCACTCCCTGGCTCCAGAAGTCTGTGTGTGTGTGTTTGGGGTGGGGGTCGCAGTCTGGGACCTGGGTCCCCATGGCTCTAGTTTTAGCCCCAGGGCTGCAGCCAAGGTGAGAAAAGGAACAGAGAAAGTGGGCTAGGTTAAGGCCGGGAAGCTCACCCTCAGGTCCCCCACTCCACCTCCCCATTCTCACTGGGTCCCTTGGAACCCCCCTCTTGGGGGCTGAGAAGAAATGGGAAGGCTTGAGATTGAGTGGACTAGGTGCTGTTTTCGGACCCCCTCCCCCCCCTCACTTCCCGGAATAGCCCCACCCTTCTAACCGCTCCCTGTCCCGTTCCACCTGCAGTTCTACCTTGAAACACACAGTCCCCGCCCCTGCTGGACTTTCTAGCAGCCTGAGTTCCTTCCTTGGCTTCCTCCCGAGAAGGGGGCAGGGGAAGAAATTTCCACTTGAAGGACGAAACCTGGGCTTCAACGAACCCTAGCGTCTTTCCTTCCCAGTCCTCCACCTTGTAGCGGCGGCCAGCCGGCGTGGCTGGCCGGGCTCTCCCGCCCTCTAGTGGTCACCAAGAGCCTCACCCGGCCTGCCCGAGAGGCTGAGGGGCTGTCCCGGTGAGGAAAAGCAGGTTGGGCGGCGCTGCCTAAGAGGGGGCAGAGAGAGGCTGGGGAGGGTAGGGCCCAGGTAAGGAGAGTCAGTGGCTTGGACAAAAAGGGGAGCAATGCACTGTACCACCGATGGAGTGGCTGGGAGCTTTAGGAGGGGACTCTTGGGCGCGTGGGGTCAGTGTCTGGAGGAAATGCGCTAAGTGGGTGGGGTCCTGAGGTACGTGGAAGGGGCACGGAGGTATGTGGGAGAGGACATCGGAATGTGGGAGGGGGAATGGGACAGGTTAGTTACGTTTTTAGGAGAGTAGGCGGCGCTACAGAATGGTATTTGGGGGCACAAAACTATCCTTTGGCGAGCAGAGTAGTGTTTGGGGCAGGTAGGCACATAGTTGGGGGGCAAAAGTGTATATGAGGGTGCGTAACTTAGGAAGACCGAAAGGTATTTTGAAGGGCAGAAATATATGGGACCAGGGAGCTATCTGGGGCCAGAGCGGCAAGTGGAGCTTAGGGTATCGGGCCCCATCCAGAGGTCCTGGGTTGAGGTCTAGGCCGACGGAAGTAGTTACATCCGCATTAGGAAAACAATTCTTAGCCCCAAGGAATAAAGAATGAAAAATGACTTTAAAAACACTTCAGTGCGACCGGATTGGAAGAAAGCCGGGTCAGGCGGCGAGGGACCACCGCTCCCTGGCTCGCGCTGCTCCGCCAGGTCGGCGCGGCTTTGTGCGGCGGCCACCCCGGGGGGCCGGCGCGGGGGCGGGGCGGGGGCGTTCTACGTCAGCGCGTCCCGGTGCGCGGGCCGGAGAGGCCCCCCCACCTGCAGGCTAAAGAAAGCGCGAGTATCTAGGTGGGCGGCCCCACAACTTCAACCCGGAGTTGCCAGGCAACAGCCATTCACTTCGGTTGCTGGGACACGCGTCACCATGGCGACAGCTCCGCGCCGCGCAGTCCGAGTATTTAAAGAGCAAGCGCGCGCAACGCCCCGGCGTCGGATAGCGGCCTTCCGGGATACTGCGGTCTCCCTTTCTCCCTTTCTCCCTTCCATTACCATCCCCTTCACCCTCTGCCGGGCGCCAAGTCTCTCTGGCCTCCTAGGTGAACCCAACTCCCCAGCGCGCCCCCGGTTCTTGGGTTGGTCCGGCTTCAAGCGGTGGGGAGCGGGATCCCGGGCCCCGGGCGGGCGGGAGGGACGGGACGCGGTGCAGTGTTGTTCTTTCCCCCGCCAATATTGCACTCGTCCCGGCCTCCGGCCCCCCCGGCCCCCCGGCCTCCCCCTCACCCCAAGCGGGGCAGCCCCAGCCCTCCTGGCTCTCGATCCCGGCTGATCTAAGATAGACTGGAGTGTCGCCGCTGCCACCGTGAGTAAGTGGGGCTGGGAGGACTTTAGTCATCCTCCGACCAGCACCTTCACCTAACCCCATCCTTCACCTAACCCCCATCCAACACCTTCCTCACTGTGTCCCAAAGTCAGCCAAACTTCCTCTAGATCTCTAACTTCCATCCTACCAGCCCTCTCCCTTACCCACCTCGGGTTCCTTCCTGCTCCCCACTCTATCCCGGATAACCCCTAAAATAAGCAATTGCACTGGCTTAGAAAACAACTGGAATTTTATGGCAATGTGCTGTTATCTTTCCTGGGGTTAGTGCCTGAGAAATACCCCTTGAAAACTTCCCATCTCCTGAACAGTGGGGTCACCACCTCTCTGGGGCTGAACTCCTGGTGGGTGCCAGAGGAGGGTCTGTGTTTGGCTGAGGGGCTGTAGATTAGACCCCAGGGTCTCCAGGATGGGCCCCAAGGCCAAAGGGTCTAAAACCAGGATTCTGAATCCGGTGACCACCTCTTCACACTCTTCCCTGGAGCAGCTGCCTCCGGAATGGCTCAAAGTCCTCAGGCACTGTGTCTGAGGAAGGAGAAATGATTAAGGTCGGAAGATGTGACTCTCCCAAGAGGGCATGAGAGGTCAGGCTGATCTCGGTCTAGAGCCTCACCGTTGCATCGATACTGGAGATTGGACCAAATGATGTTTTCTTGGGAGAAGCAGAATACACCAAGACGCCCCCCTCGCATGGATGTGTCAATGATCACCCCAGAATCTGCCACTAGCTGGGGACCCTCATAGAGCTTCACCCTGTCCAGGATAGGGGTGTCCATTGGTGCTAGGGTGCCCGTGGGCACTGTGCCACCATGCCCGGGCCCTGCTCAACCCCAACCCCCCTTGAGCTCACCAGGCCTGAGAGAGAAGGGAGGGGGGAAAGGGAAGAAGGAAAGGGGACAGAAGGGGGGTGATTTTCTCAGGCCTGGGGCCCCTGGCTCTTTGTCCGGACCCCTTTGCATCTCAAAGCACTAGCCGCATTCCGAGCGAGGATTGGGTTGCCATGACGATGAGCACAATGGACTGGGGGGTGAAGTCACCCGCTTCCCAGGCTCTAGTCCACCCCCCCTTATCCCCTGCCCTGGCGCCCCTGCAGCCCCAGGCACCTTAAAGGGGAACCAACCCATGTCCCTAGACTCTGGGCTCTTGGCCATTTCCCCTCCCTTCCCTGTCATCCCCACCAAGTAGGAAATGTGAAGTTGTGGACAAAGTGCTGAACTGAGAGGCCTCAGCTCTCCTACTAGGGTGTCAAGTCTGGGGCTCTGTTTGCTCTTCTGTAAGTGATGGTCCCTTCCAGGTCAGACACTGATGAGGCAGGTTCTGGGCTGTCCCAGTGAAGGGGCTGGATGTGATGTGCCTCTCCACAGACTGGCCTGGGGTTTGGAGGTTCCCAGAGGCGCCCTCGTTTTACAGAGGGGAAAATGGAGCTCAGAAAAAGGAAGGACTTGCCAGACATTGCCTATCAGTCCTCGGCAGCACCGGCACCAGAGCCCAGGCTACCTGATTTAGGAGGAAAGTGGGGCCAAGGCAGCGGGTTTGTGGTGAGAGGGGAGATGGGGAGAAGTGGTCCCAGTCCAGGCCCATGGCACCAAGGCACTGAGTAGAGGGGAGGTCACTGGTGAGTCCCAGCTAAAGGTGAAGGACAGGCTGGGCCTGGGCTCCCTTGGGAGGGCTCAGCCCCGCCCCTCACCGAATGTAGCCAACTTGAGGCCGGTGCAGCAGCTGCCAGCGGTAGGAGGTCTTGTCACGCCAGCCCACATTTCGTGGGTCAGTCCACAGCAGTCGTACCTGATCAGGGGTGTGGCCAGTATGCCACAGGGCATTCCGGAGGTGCTCACCTGGGCCAGACACTGATGTCACTGCCTGGGGGGCATTGGCAAAGACAGTGGGTCAACCACAGGACCGGAGTGAAGGGAGACAACAGGTTGGTAAGTGCAGGTGGAAAAGGAAGTTAAGGTGGTCAGGAGAATATTCTGGAGCCCCAGGGAGCCAACCTCTAGGCCAGATATCTGGGTAAGAGGGTTCCCAATCAGGCAGTGGGGGAGGCCCTGGGGTTGCTGGGGGAGACTTTGGGAAAGGGCCCTGGATTGGGGAATCTGGGCAGCTGCGGGACCTTGAGCTGCAGCCCGGGCTGGGCCACAGCCCGGAAAGGTGTGGCCTGCCAGTAGGTCTGTTCCGTTTGCTTCCACATGACCACATAGAATCGGCCGCTGTCCTGATAGCTGAAGAGAAAGCCTGCGTAGTCATCATCAGTTACTGTGTTCACATGGAAGGTGCCTTCAAAGTCCACACCATTGAAGGCTGTATATCCTGGGGGTGGGTGAGTGGGTGGGATCAGGTCAGGGGCAGCAAAGCTACTGGTGGCTCATTGTGAGGTGGGAGTGGGAAGGGATGCCAGCTTGCCCCCGACCCTCTGCCCCGGTAGGATTCCTCTGTTCAGAAATTACTGAACTGGGTGTCCCGTACATACCAACTGCCAGGCCGGGGTCACTGTTCATGGTCTGAACAATTTCCATGCCCTGGTGGTGTGCAATAAAGAAAGAATCCCTGATCCAGGTGCGCTACCCCACCTCGGTCCCACCTGGGGTCTGGTCTGACAGCACCCACCCAGCCCACTGCCCCAGTACCTGGTTGAGCACGACCCAATTTGGGTCAATCTGAGCATCACCCTCGGGATCCAGGACGACGGTCTGATAGGCCCGAAAATCCGTGAGGGTTACCTCCGCACTTTCAGGGCACACATCCAGGGGGTCGAGCACTGCGTCATTGTCAAAGTCATCCTCACACACATCACCAACACCATTGCCTAGGCAGAGTGAGGCTAGGCACTCAGGAAGGCCCTGGCCACTGCCACTAGCCAACACTACCACCTCTTGGGCCTTGCATTCCTGACTTCTCTCCCCACTCTGCCCTTTCTCACTCCCCAGCAAGGCCTGCCACCTCTCCCTAAGCAAAGTTTACATCAGTCCAATCCTCTGTGGGACCGCAGCCTTACCATCTGAGTCCTTCTGATTGGGATTGGGTACCAGGCGACAGTTATCAGGGCCAGGAGGCAC